TGTTAGAAAACAATTTTAGTCGAAATCTGCTGACTTTTAAAAATAAATGTTTTTTTATTGCTCACCCTGTATACAGGGTGTTAAAAAAAAGTGTCACAAAATAAAACGGGGTGTAATATGGGCCAAAATATGCAGAAAAGTCTTAATAAACATATGTCCGCAAATGAATGGTTTCAGATATACGGAGTGTTTTGTGTTTTGTATCATTTATCATTCATCAGCTGACATGCATTTTATGTACGGTCGTGCAAATGGCAATGCATTGAAATGGAGGGAGGGTACTTTGAACATCTCATTTAACTCTATGTTGTTATTGATTGTTTATAAATATCATTATTTTTTTATAATAATAAAAAATTGTTATAAACACAAAATGGTCCGTATCTCCGAAACCGTTAATTTGCGGTCATATATTTATTAAGACTTTTCTGCTTATTTTGGGTCATACCATTCCCCATTTCATTTTGTGACACTTTTTTTTTAACACCCTGTATATCTGACCGGAAGTATACCCGGTTTTGAGCCAAGAGGAAGCCTTACCTGCACACAAAATTGGAAGTTTTTATCTTAAGCCGTTTTTGAGCTATCGCACCAACAGATAAACGGCAGAAAATGGGTGCTATGATTGAACGTTTACGTTATCCGTAACGTACACGTTAGGTCGAATTTTAAAAGTAACGAGGCAAGTTCGGATGATGGAAAACTGTTAAATTAGAAGATAACAGGCGGAAAATAACAGTAACGTGTTGGAAAAAGTTTTCCATCATACGAACTTGCCTCATTACTGTTAAAACTCTGCCTAACATGTACGTTACGGATAACGTAAACGTTTAATCATAGCACCCAATATACGGCTGACGGCAGAAAGACCGACGGAATGGGAAAAACATGTTTTTTTTAATCTATAGACCCGAAAACGTAAAAATCTAAATTTTCACGATTACAATACTTTCCTTTTATCGAGGGAAGTAAAAATTAAAATAAATATACTCATTCTCTTGAATGCTCCTCTACTATTTTTAATGTAACAGTGTTCTCAGTTGTATGTTGCCGTCTGGCTTTAAAGCTTTAAAGTCACACTATATTTTTTGCTCGTACTATACCTACTATTACTTCTAATAATAATTTGATGAATCAAATGGTATTTCATACTGTTATATTATCATGTAATGATTAGTTACTTTAGTAAGTCAGTATCATATTCTACTTTAATATTTTGTTTTGTTTATCATCTCTATGATGGCTCTTATACCAAAAAGCAAAAATCGTAATTAAGATTTTTCAAATAAGTGATCCATATATTAGCTGCCCAAAAATAATTTATCCTAAATCAGTTTTCCAAAAATAATTTGTAAAAACAATATGTCCAAAAATTAATTGTACTGAATATAACTAAATATAACAAGAGACACTGGATAAATTAGGTACCTATATATTTATCTCGCCAACAAATCTTTGCAGCGCCCCCTCCCCTCCCTAAAAGAAATCCTAAATTTCCCATTAATAGAGGCAATTTGCTCTAGAAATGATTTATGATCAATTGGAAATAATTAAGAAGAAAATATAATTAAGAATAAATAATATGATACAACATTCGCCAATACAGTTTACACAAAATACACCATTGTTTACTTATAGAACAATCAACTCGTCCTCCATAGTTATTACATTATACAATCAACACTTTTTATGAATGAAAATTAATAGCGGCAAAATTTCTAAGAATGCCTAGCGATCGAGTTATACTGGTTTTTATTACAACCAGCATCAACAAGCGATTTGGTTTCATAAGACTTTTATAAGCAGTAAGTGTAAAACTGGTGACCATTAAAGATAGAAAAAATTTCAAGAAATAATATTTTTGGTATCATTCCCGGTAAAACGTGAAATATAAGGTAAGAATTCCGTTTGTAGTAAATAAAACACCGTTACGTAACTTATAGGGAAACAACGGCGAGAATTACATAATTTTACGTTGATATTACTACTGATACTGAAAAGTTTTGTTTACTTGTTATTATTTGTTAAATTATTACACGGCTAGTTTGGCACACAAGTGTGATTTTAATAGTAGGTAGGTATTGCAATTCCACAATTTGCTCGTCCTTGTATCGATGAGTGAGTATTTTTTTAATAAATTAAACAATTTATCTTTGCATCTGTCAATCGGCGATGCACGATTATTTTGTAATTTTGAAATACAGTAATAAAAAAAGATCTGTTTATATCAGTTATTATACACTAATTGGCTAGTAATGTTTATAAATGTTTTGTTTGTAATTTTAATAATTTGCTGAATGTGAAATATATGTAATTTATTATAAAGTTGGTGAATCATTATAGGATTTAAATTTATTACGTCCCGATTTAATTTTTTTTATTTTTAATAATTAAACTCAAAATCCATACCACATAATTTTAATAAAATATCATAATAACAATTTTTTAGATACTTTGTTACTCGCTTTATTGACATATCTGTCAATGTTAAAAAAAAGTTTCACTTACATCGCTTGAGAAGAAAAGAAATACATTTGTGGCCCAATACGCACTAAGCAATATACATTTACTGCAAATATAAATGCAAGTTTCCTTGCTAGTTTGATAAATATTTATTGATAGCTTTCAAACATTATCAAACTGGTTTTAAAAAGTTCATTGTCACCAAATGAGAAAAGCAAAACAAATAAATAAACCTTTTTTGGTTTTATAATCAATAATACACATTATTATTGAATGTTTATATTAAAGAAGGGCAGGTTAACTTTTAAAAATATAATTTTATTTAACTTACAACTTAATAATAATTTTGTTTTGATCCATATTTTCCATTACAACTCAGCACAAAATAATTAAACTAACTTCAAATCGTTGAGTATACATTATTAATATAACTTTCTATTTATCAATAAAATTATGCATATGCAACTAACAATACAAGAAGGTAATATTGGTTGTCTATATGTCAGTAATGTCTGACCAAAACACAATTTTATAAATAATCTAGTCAAAATTAGAAAAAATATTATATGTAACACGTTACGAAATGCCATTTTATGTAACTCGTTCATGTTGCTCGTCCCGAAAATATTCACTTGTTACATAAAATAAGGCATTTCATAACTGGTTTCATAAATAACTATTTAAACCAAATAACACCACATTTAATTACTTTATAAAATACTCTTATTATTCTAATTAGTATTAGACGTATAATGTTGACTGGTCGGTGGTAGTAATGTGATTCAGCAATAAGTTTAGCATGGCTAAGCACTCCTTTCAATGAATAAAAGGACATGGGCAGGTAACGTTTTATAGATTGTCATAGTTTGACTCTTTATATTTTTTTGTCAAAACGTGTGTTTTTGAAATTTATCTAAAAATAAAATTAATTGTTTAAAAGAGAGTTTTTTTTGCAACTATACCCAGTTGAAGAATTTAAAATTTTTATATAGTAATACTCTCACTATAATTATCTTCCCTTAAGCTAGCTATTGTTATTTGCCATGTTGCTCTGAGGACGATTTATGGTGACTTACAGAATAGATGAACCAGGAAAATTTCACCCACATAGTGTTATTTGTTCTACAGAGATCTACTCTCTCTGTTTACTGCATTTGGCCCTCTTGTAAATGATGGATTCACTCTCTCTTTCCTTGGTATTCTCCTTTTTGTGCTTACTCTGATATCTAAATGGAATTGTTCCCGTATTTGTCTATTTAATATAAACTTTATTGAATCTTACCCTCATAGGATAATAATCTCTCTTTCAAATGCAAAGAATATAATTTCCTAAGATTAGATGTATTTTTTTTTTAATTTTTAGATTATGTGTCGATCTTTTTCGGTTTTCTACTCTCTCAGAATTGCTTATTTAATATTTGCAATCGTAAGTTTACTATTTCAACCTTTTGTAAAAACAAAACTTCATTGGCTGCTTCTTTTTACTTGTGAATTGCAGCTGTAAACACCACAAAATTCCTTGTTGTTTGATGGATATTCTCAAATTGCATACTAAACTAAGGTTAAATCAAGAAAACATTAGTTACTTCCATAATCTTACATATTAGGCCCACCTACATTGCCTCTTTAGGTTTATAAAATAATCCATCAGAAAACGTAGTGCTTAGCATTTTATATAATATGTAAAATTTTTGACGAAATAATTGAGTGCCAATTGTTACTTTAATCACTGCAGGGATAGAGAGAGTCATATTTAGGCCTGTCAGAGGACGTCTACATTGTGGATAACCTGTTAGAGGATGTAATAATGGATTCAATGCTATGCGGACGATCTGGTTATCCTAATTAGGGTAAGACGAAGAGGAGTTGTTTAATATCTTTCAACACGCCCTAAATAGGATGGTGTAAGAGGTAGCTGATGTCTTTTAGCGCCCGAAATACTATTATATTTCCTTTTACTAAGAGAAGAAAGCATTAAAGGCTTTGACAACCTTCTTTTGTTCGGGGAAATCATCCTTTTTGCAAAAAAGGTAAAATATCTTGAGATTATCTTAGATAATAAATTCACCTGGTATCTCCAAATAAAAAAAACTATCAACAAAGCCCAATTATTTTTCTGGACCCTCAGAGGCAGATGTGACAAAGCATGGGGGATCAGTAATTAACTGATCTACTGGATTTACTAAACCGTGGTATATGGAAGTCTTTTTAATTTATTGACCTTAGGTTTTTCTACCTATATTGGTATTACTGTTGGTTTTTCTGGTTTTTGTTAATAGGCTGCCTATGTTTTTTACATTAAAAGTTCTGTTTTAATAAACATTTTTATTTAAATTCATTAAACCCATCCGAATTCTGTACGATCTCAGTACATTTAACGTATCAAAATATTAAAACCGCCACACCAATACATTTTCGTAAGATATCTAACCACTTAAACTACCAAATTGCCACACGTTTTCACTCAAGACACCCAGATTAAATAGTACTTAAGTTTAAGAAATTAAAGTCCACAAATTATAAAATTAAATACTTACAAGGGTATTCATATTGGCAGCTGGTGGCTGACCTCCTCCTCTTCTTTCTTGTCCCATTGCTACTTTATTTCTTAAATAATTGTGGATGTCCAAAATGTACTGTCTGTCATCATCGTTGAGGGAAACTACTTTGAAGTCTTGACCGCATGATCGACCTTTACCGCACATCTACAAAGAAAACATACATATATTCTGTTTCATATTGAATTACCCTTAATGGAAATATGTTCAAATTAAACTGACTGTTAAAGCACCTATCGTCGTCTGAGAACCACTATGTCAAAATTATACAGTAGAGCATTTTTAAAATTCACCAGCTTCTATTGTGTACATCTAAATGATTTTTTTTTAGAAGTGTAATTTAGTTTAATTCAAGGGTTTATAATAAAGAGAAACCCTAAAATATACTAAAAATTTTGACCAGAGAAAAAAAATCTGTTGCGGACATAGCATAAATTGCTTTTTACAAAAAAATTAGTAGTAAAACAAATTTTTCTATGTCCAAAACCCTTTTTTCTAATAACGAAAAACAGTGATTGTTAAGTAACATATTTATTTTAATTTAAAAAAGCAGTAGCAAAGTAAACAGACTTTGATTTACATACTTAGTAATTTGAAATAGGTACCTAAAAATTGTTTATAATGCATTTCCAAAACTGCAAGTCCACTGCTGAGAAGTGATTTGACAAGCTTCTGATGTGATCAATTTTATCTGCTAGCAAATTGGGAGGAGGGGGCTGAACTGTGGGACTCGAAACATTTTCAAAACACGCTTTTTTGTCATTTTGTCTGGTACGTTTCAAAAACTCCATTACAAGTAATGGGATGTTTATCAGAGAAATGTAATTTGTATTCAACACAGCTGGAATTATGCTTATATCTCCCGCTATCTCGGACAAATTTATTAAAAAACTCGCCGTTGTATTTTATGTGTGAAAACTGCAACAACCTGCAAGGTAGAATTGATTTATTTTCTTGTAAGCTTTCGCAGCTCAAAAAATTGTAAAGCTGTTTCGGTACTATTTGCTTGTGTATAGTCATTAATTTATTTAATTTTTTGTCATATTATGTAATTTTTGTTATATTGTGTAAGTTTTGTTATGTTGTGTAATTTATCTTATATCCAAATTATGTCTTATTGTGCAATATGTTATATTTATAATTACTTTTGTAATTACAATTTTTTTCCTGTTCTATAACTAGGCATTTAGCCTGTAGAGCAGTGTATTTAATAAATAAATAAATAAATAAATAAATAAGAAATCTGAACTTAGTTTTTGTACGGCATTGTTGTCAAAGTTGCAGATTTTAATATTGTTTTAAAATCCACGAATTTATTTTTATTCATCTGGACTATCTGAAACGACTTTCTTGCTCGAACATTTTTTATTGCTTTGTAAATAGCTAGTGGACTATGGAGTTCCAATTAGTTTAAATTTCGGTCCAGGGTACTATGCATTGCGTCAACTTCTTGGACACAGTTATTACCTGGGACTTGAAATTTTTGAACAATGCACTCAATTTCAGGATGCTTTCGACCACAAAATCAGTTTTGTTACATTAGGTCTATGCGACAACAGTTTTTCAAGTAAAACATACAAAGCACTTGCAATATCGACACCTTTTCTTCCACCCAACAGTTCGAGCCACAAAATGTAATAACCGGTCTTTTTAACAACGTCATTACCAGTCAAATTATAAACATCGTACTTTTTTTATGGTAAGATATTGAAACCTGTGTTTGTGGACATATTAGGTCACTTTGCATATCAAAACATAGTAGAGCTGTAGACGGATCATTCTTACAGACTTCTATGTCCTGTTTTTTTTTTTTTTTTTCACGACCTTCTATCTTAGCTTTTATATGCTCATTGTATTTTTTATTAAAATCTTCATTTAATGTTTGTTCATATTTTTTTGTATTATATTCTGTGCACACGTTGCATAAATCCTTATTCGGAGTATGGAATCCAAGATTAAATTCAAAGTTAAAATTATGGTAGTAAAGCCACTTCTTCTGTGGGGCTAATTTTTTTTTCTTCGCACCACTTTACATATCTGTAACGTGTGGAGGGTGGGTTACCCCACGGCACTTAGGCCTCATTAGGCCAATTGTGCATCCTCCTGATAAGATAGGCACCTCCTAGCTCGTGAGCCAGCCTACAGATTTAATCCAGTTAACAACGTCGCCAAGAGGTGCTTTTCTTATATCGGCCGGTATTAGCCGATACTCGCCGAACACAAATCTTCTAATAAATGAGAGCGTCGAGCAATCGTAAAGGATATGCTCGATGGTCTTATCTTCTTGTTCGCACCCTCTGCAGAGTGCGGATTCTGATAGCCCCATGATATGGAGATGCTTTCGTATTTGGCAATGACCAGTCAGAATGCCTGTGACTAGGCGCAGATTTTGTCTAGTCATAGTCAAGTATTTGTTTGCTGCAGTGTTGTCAGGATAACTTAAGAGCTCCCTGGAAACTCTGCAGTTTCTTGTTTCATCCCATCTTTCCTTGAATTTCACAAGAGAACGTTGTTTGATTAGGTCTGTCACTACCGATTTTGTCAGGCCAATAGAAGCGCCAGGTCCAAAAAGTATTTAGTTGGATTGCTTTCTTGGCTAGTGAATCAGCCAACCTTTCGATGTGGCGTGACTTTTAATCCATCTTAAGGTGACCACGTTGTTGATGGATACATCGGCCAAAGCTTTGTAACATTCTAGTACTAACCCTGAATAAATTCGTGGTCTGTTCAGGGTGAGTAGTGCTTGTCTGCTATCAGTATAGATGAGCATGTTCCTTCCAGTAAAGCTCATACATCTTTGACAAGGATTATGTCATTTCTAAGTATTCTTTGGAGGAGTTACTTCTACAGTAGTGTGAAGGTATACGAGGGAACATATTAATGTGATCTCTGATTAATTGTCTATGCTCCCCATCAATTCTATTTTCAGTGCGGCATCCTCTTTGGTACTGACTTGGAGTAGGTACTTGTGATTCCCGTTTGCTTTTTGCTGTAAAAATATGCAATTCTAATCGGACTTATACCTACGACTCCCAAGTAAAATTTCTTGCAAGACGTAAATTTTCTGTTCGTTCTTGATAACAAATACTTGTAAGAAAAATTCTTGGTTCTCTGTCTCACATTTCTGTTTCTCTAGAATTCCATCTGGTATCTTTCTGATGTTTTCTCGTAAAAATGTCCTTTCGCGTCATCAGTATTTGTCCAAAATTCATTATGAATTAGCGCTGCTTCTTCTTCACTGAAATTGTTTAGACATTTAAAGCGACAGTTTACACAGTTTCTTCTGAAAGCCCTAGCCCTAACGGCCTGGTCTGGGCAACTTTTGTATTCTTTTCCAGTTTGTCGTAACCTTTTTCTTTCAATCTTTCTGGTTAGCTTTTCGTGTTGTAGTGGATTTTGTTCTAAAAAATAAAAACGCAATCAAAATTAATCAATACATTAATTTAGGTAATAATAGTTTTAAAATACCTTTGAATATGATCGTCGTCTGGCATATCATCCTGACCATCTAATTCGACCGATGTACCTTCTGTTTTGCTTGGACTATCTAAACTCCTAGCAATTGATGTCCCAGAATTTTCGTTTTGCCTCTTATCAGAGTGATATTTTTTATGACCTGAACCTTTGCTACATATTAAAGTATCGGAATCACAAGAATTCTCATCGGTATCGACACTAAAACCTTCATTTACATTGATACAGAAAAAATTATAAAAATTCATTCTAAACTATAATATTTTAGAAATTAACTTACATTTTTTGTTTATTATTCCTTGTAGTTGGTTCATACTCCGACCCTGAGTCCTGGTAAAGTTTCGAAAACTATTCTTCCGAATCGCTCATTACTTTTTAACTTATTTTCACGACTTAAACACTGTAAACGCGGACACTAGGTACACATAAAAGTTGTTCAAAATGTTCTGACTAAAATATTTATGCCAAATTATTCCATGTCCTCACATGGTGCACATGGCTAAATCCTATTGGCTGATAAGGATATAGACTAATATGGTTCGAACATTAAAAATTTTTAATGGACATAGTTAGACTCTCTGTAAGTATTGAACCGATTGGCGCAGAGTAACATGGAATAGTGTGGTCGCTAGAGCTTTGGACATAGAATACTTTGATACTAAAATATCAATTAAAAAAAAAATGGACATAGAATAACCTGGTTCTCAGGCGACGCTATGTTAGCACCGATGCCCCTATTCATTCCTTTTTCACATGGTTAGATTGAAACCCTTGAGATCGTTAAATAATAATTCAAGAATACTGGCCCGTATATAAAGGCAAACATTATAACTTGAATAAACTCTGCACACTTGAAATTATGGCGATGTAAAAAGGTACTTTTAAAATATAAAATTTAGAGTAGTGTCTAATAACATCTTAATCTAAAAATAAAGTTTTACACTAGAAAAAATATATTTTTTTAAATATTCCAATTATAAATGTGAACTAAGAGATTCATATTTATAAAGATATAGGTGTGATTCGTGGATTCGAAATTAACATTTTTGAAAGTATGTTGCAATCGTCATATCAGAACACTAATTTTATCTCCTGTCAAATTATTCTTTCATATTTCACATAAGTTTTATAATTAAAATAAGTACCTAGATAGCTACAACTATAAGTAAAATAATAATAAATCTGCTTTAAATTTTGTATTCAAAGTCTTAAAAAAGCTAGAAAATCAGTTATTCAAGCCAAAAAACTTTACTAGGTACTTGAGTTTTAAGAAGATCCTGCTCATGGCAATTCGCACTGGATAATAATTTAAACCAAGTACTGTTAGAGTGCTAAAAAAAGAAAAGTGTCATCCGTACAAAGTATATCTGGACCAAGAGTTATTAGAAAATGATTCTGAGTTACATGAAAAGTTAATTTTTATAAAATGAAACTACTTTTATGCCCAATGATCACGTTAACTGCCAGATGTATCGACACAAATTCAAAAATCGAACTTCGTATGGCAAACCCTTGGGGTGTATAAAACATTTAGAGGTACATATACAGGGTGGCGCATCTTATACGCATCGGTCTCTGTAGGGAAAACGACTTAAATTTGATTTTTTTTTTAATAGGGATATACAGGGCCATTACACTACAAATTAAAAATAATTTGGATTATACAGGGTGAC